TCACACGATCCTTCAACCCTAAACCCTAAACCACGAAACCCTCAATCATGTCCCCGGCCGGCCTTCCACGTCTTGATCCGAGCGCCGTGCATCTGAGAGCAGGTGTTGAGGGTTTAGGGTTTCAAGGCTCATGGGTAGTCATCCGTAGAGTTGTAGTGTAGTCAGTGCCCCACCTGAGGTTACACTTGCAGTTTCATGATAACTGTACCTATAACCCACTTGCAAGCCCCTGAAGTGCCCGAATATGGCTATAAGTACCCTAAACCCTAAACCCTAAACCCTAAACCCTAATACAGTTAGGATTGTGAATAAGTACCATGAACCTCCAAGTAGCAAAAGTTGCCAACTAAAACAAGGCTGGCCAACAGATTGAGCGAGTCGGGAGTTGATCTGGTTCGCTGTGCTACAAAGTTGAGGGTTCAGGGAGTTGAGTTCGGGGCTTGGGGCCTCTACCAAGAACATGCCGGGTCTTTCAGCGCGTCGAAATCTTGAAGTGTTCTCAGCTATGTTGGGGTTAACCCTAAACCCTGAACCATAAACCCTAAACCCTAAACTCTAAACCCTAAACCCAAGTGCTGTTGCTTTCTTGATGCTTCGGGCTTAGGTTGCGGCGCTCCGCCCGGGGCCCCTTAGAGCACAAACTGCGTGTCGCACAACCCTAAACCCTAAACCCTATAGACCCTAAACCCTACAGACCCTAAACCCTATACCCTAAACCCCAAACCCTAAACCCTCAACCCTAAACCCTAAGGGCCGGGCACTCTGCTCAAGGGTGACATTGTGGAAGGTGATGTTGGTGACCACCTGGTCCTGCTGAACTTACGAGTTCTTACCCGAAAGCCCAAACAAACACACACACACACACACACACAAATGCCCTTGCGTAGGGTTTAGGGTTTAGGGTTTAGGGTTTAGGGTTTAGGGTTCAGGGTTCAGGGTTCAGGGTTTAGGGTTTAGGGTTTAAGGTTTAGGGTCTAGGGGAAGTGGGAACTAGAGACAGTGCATCACCCTGCTAGGCCTTGAAGGGATCCTATTGGGAACCTGTTTTCCCCATTCCCTCAAGAAAGCTGTATTACTACGTCGTAGTATGAAAGAATGAAAATACATGGCTACTGTTGTATGCTCACGTTGTTGTTACCGCCCAGCCATGCAGGGCTCACAGACAAAACTGCGTAAAACCGGGCCTGGGCTTCGGGATGTTATTTACAGATGAGACGTCGACCCAACCGCCATTGAAGCTTGTAAGGCCCTCAACAGCCCTCAACGGCCCTCAACGATAAGTTCACAAAAACTCAAACCTCCAAAGCCGAGAACCATCAACAAGTTTAGGACTAGGGCTTTAGGGTTTAGGGTTTAGGGTTTTTGGTGTTTGGTTTTTGGTTTAGGATTTAGGGTTTAGGGTTCAAGGCTTACGGATTCACACCTAGACCTCCTCCAAGTGCAGCTCCTTTTTGGCTACCTACTGCTCTGGTTGTACCATCCATAAACCATGCAAGTAGTTGCCCCAAGCAAGGTGCTTTGCTAAACATGAACTCGCAACGACCCAACATCCAACGACTCATATCATCCGCCAGGTGCTGGGTTTAGGGCTTTTGGTGTAGGGCCGTCCCCTCCTCAGCGCCCCGTTCGCCCAGGCTGCCGATCGATATGCCTCATGGCAGAAGCTGCACGCGCGGGGGTTGAGGGTTTGGGGCACCCTAAACCCTAAACCCTCTAAGGGTTTAGGGTTTTAGGGCCTTAGGATTTTGGGTTGAGGGTCTAGGGAGTCAAGGGCTTTAGGTTGAGAAGATGGCTTCGCAGCTCTGTACAATTTCACGGGGCTTAGGGTGTAAGGTTTAGGGTTTAGGGTTTAGGGTTTAGGGCTTCTCTGAGTCTTGACCGGTGGTGCACAAGATTTACCAGGGCCTCTGCCAAGCCACACAAACTCGCAACTACAGGGGGATTCATGCGAGCATACGAACGAGCATGCGCCAGGGAGAGCATGGCCCTGAAACCCCTCGAAGACGAAAAACGCATTCCTAGATATAAACCTCTTGAACCCAATAAGGAAAAGTACAAAATCTTCCAACGGCCCTACCTTAGGGTATAGACAAGCATCAACGGACGTTGAATTTCTTTTCAAGAGCTTTGATGTGCGCGGATGGCTATCTAAGGATCCTGGGGCCTATGCGCCGGATGCAGCTGGGAAAAGGAATGCTGCTGTACATGGCCCGATATCTACGTACAGATACCTATACAGGAACTGCATATGTATGTCACGCATATACATATACATATGCACATATAGTACATATACATATATAGAAATATATTCATACATATATATATATATATATACGTCTATATATATATGTATATATATACACATATATATATATATATACAAGTATAAAAGGTACATAGACGGGCTGTGCAAGTATCTGTATATATATATATATACGTATATGCACATGTACATACATACATACATGCACATAGCTTCGCCGAGTTCAATCTGAAGGGATCCCAGGATCCAGAAAACGGGACGCCGATTACTTGTTCGAGCTCAGCTTCCTGTTGTGGCTGAGCAGATTGAGAGGGTCCACTCTCTGCCTTAGTTGTCCAACAGCTTAGGGAAGTAGAGGTTAGTTAACCTTTGGGACTATAGAAGGATAAGCATACTCCCAAAAAATCACAAGGTTTCCCTATAACTCTACTGCTAAGCTGCTTGATGGCCCTCAACCTCTTGGCCACGTCCGCCTTCGTGACATCAACCAGCACGTTGTTCCCCTCCCCTGCGTTCTCCTCTCGGACGTCGGAGAAGGCGTGCGCGGTCTTCGCAAGAACATCGCCGCATGTGCTGTTGATCTCATAAACGAAGTCCTTGCACCACTTGCTGGACCGGGCTTTTCCAGCAGCGTTCCCATCCACCCCAGGATCCCAGCGAGTCTCTGCAAGGATCCAGATCTTCGCATGACGAGTCGACAAGCTGCACCTGTCACATTGCGGGGTATCGCCCCCAGTAACTTTGTCACCTACGGGCATGAGAATGAGGACCGACCCAGCTGGCGCCCTGCCAATGTTCTCCACCATGCACTCGATCACCTTGTCCGACAGGTCAACAACAGCCACCATCGTCTGGTAGATGTAACCTTCTTAATATGGGGGGCCAAAATAGTTAGAACAGGGTTTGGGGGTCATTATAGTATATGCATACAGCCCTAAAAGATTACTTGTAGTAGCCACCAAGTAACCGTGGGCCTGCTGATCTGCCACGAGTGTCTGGACTTTCTGGTGATCAACCACTTCCCATGAGTTCCTTGGTAGCCCAGTAGCCATGTTATAATAAGGGCACCCCTTTTTGGCTTGGCTATTTTATCAGGGCACCCATACCCTCAACCCTAAACCCTAAACCCTAAACCCTAAACCCTAAACCCTAAACCCTAAACCCTAAACCCTAAACCCTAATCACCAAAAAAGGGGAGGGCAAAAAGGCTACTACCTGGGCTACCAAGGTTTCTCAGCGAAGACTAGGCCCCCTCCCGGGACCGGGCTGCTCGCTTCCTTGAGATCTGCGACGGTCGTCAGCGCATCTTTGCCCTGGACGGCCTCCTAGTTCATGGTTGGGATAGTATCAAAAATCTAAATCTATATATATCTCTATATATATATAGCCTTAGTAGGTTGAAGCACCCTTAAAATATATATATATATATATATATATATATATCTCCTAGTACCCTTGAACATGTAAAATGTTGCCCAACTATGACAAAGCCTCTGGCCCGTAATGCAGCCAGATATTTGGCACCACGGGTGCTGTTGGGAGAACCAGTATGCACTGGGTGTCCTCCGATGCCTTAGCTTTGGAGTAGACCCTGGAAAAAAGTATATACGTTTTAGGTATAAGTAGCTAGAATAGGAACCCAGAACCAAAAAAAGTGTTAAAGTATAGTTCTCCAAGACCCAGATGCCTTTTGGATTCGGGCCCACCATGCCTTCACTACTGCCTTCTTTCGTGCAGCGCTCGGGCAAAGTGGGACCACCTGTCCGAGCAAGAACTGGTCCTTGTTGGGCATCGCGTGCGTCTGGTAGTAGAACTTCGTTACAACACCAAAGTGACCACCACTGCCCCGACAGGCCCACAGGAGATCTCGCTGCTCTGGCGGTGAGGAATCGCGGATGTTCGCCAAGAACTTTCCTAGTTCATGGTTGGGATTGTATTAAAAAATTAATATATATATATATATATATATTTTATTTATATTTATATTTATACTTCTTATTGGGTTTAAGTACCCTTAAGAAGGCAAAATGTTACCCAACTATGACCAAGTCTCCATCTGGAAGAACGATGTCGATGCCAACCAGGTTATCCACAGTAAGGCCAAACTTCCTGCTGAGCCACCCGTTGCCGCCAGAAAGTGTAAGGCCAGCCACCCCGGTGTCACCATTGGTACCAACGGGTATCACACCTCAAGGACGAAATGCGACGTAAAAAAGTTTGTGGTTCATATGCTTTAGTAGGGATTAGAGTAAGGTATAGGGTCCATGACCCCGATTTTCGGGCTCATATGCTTTAATGGGTATAGGGTCTATGACCCCAGTTTTAGGGTTCATGTGGTCCCCAAGGCACTAAACCCGAAACCCCCCGAACCCTAAACCCTAAACCCTAAACCCTAAACCCTAAACCCTAAACCCTAAACCCTAAACCCTAAACCCTAAACCCTAAACCCTAAACCCAAGGCACGACCATGTGCCCGGCAGGCCGCATCCACAGCCCTGAGGGTGGCGCCCGCTTCGGCCGACGCCTCCTTTGTCTCCGGGTCATAGTGAGCTTTGTTCAAGAGAGCCATGTCCTTGGTAGGGTTTAGGGTTTAGGGTTTCGGGTTTAGGGTTTAGGGTTTAAGGTTTAGGGTTTAGGGTTTAAGGTTTAGGGTTTAGGGTTTAGGGTGTATAGGGTTTAGGGTTGAGGGTTGAGGGTTTAGGGTTGAGGGTTTAGCCCAGTAAAGATATCATCATCAGGGCACCCCTTTTTTGAGGCTGGCTGCTCCATTCGGAAACCATGAACCAAAAAAAAGGGGAGAAGGGTACCAAGTGTCGATAGTAAGAGCGCCATCAACGAATGCATTGGATGAGTGACAGCCTGAAGCTACACTGATCTTCAGGGAGTTTGCCTGGGCGAAGTGGAAACAAGCAGCGACGTCTGAGGGCGTCGAAACGCGCACGATGATCTGGGGAAAGGCAATGACATCCTTGTTCCATACACGATCGATCCAGTGTGCGTACTTGCTATCGGTGACTTCTGCTCCGTAGAACCGAGCTTTGTGCTTGGGCGGCGGAAGCGCCTTGCACTCCGCAACGGTGGCGACCTCTGATGACGCGGAAAGGGCGGACCGAAGCTTTTCGAGGTCGTATTGCTGAGACACAAAGAGCTCTTTCACCTTCTTCAAGCGATCCTCCCTGAAGGCCTGGAGTGCTTCCATTCTTTCGGCCGCCAGAGCTTCGTCTCTCTTGCGCTTGGCAAACGCCACGAGCCCCATGAACCCTCCCGCAGAGAGTAGCACGACGCTCAGCCCCATGATGGGAAAAAACACAGCTCTTCACACTGAAGAGCTGGACCACAAAACAAAGTGGGTCGCTTGGGCTTGATATGAAGTCCTGCTGCGAGAATATAAGTCTCTGTACAGCTTTGAATAAACAAGAAGTGCCAGCGCGTAGACCCCCAAACAGTGAAAGACTATGGGGACACCCAAGAGCATCGCTAAACCCTAAACCCTAACCCTAAACCCTAAACCCTCCTGATAGCGCACTTCACTCCCAGAATGGCCCCCATCTTGTGATCTCAGGGAATGGCAACGTCAACTCAGACACGACGATTGAAGAGCCACCCGAGCCCCCCCCCCCCAAAAAAAAAAAAAAACAATAAAATAATATATATATATAATAAAGTAAACAAAACATTCTTCCTTACAAGAGTAATTTGGGGATTCTTGTCTTGTAGTTTTTGGCAGGCACTTCTGCAAATAGTAGTACATCAACTTGGAACTCCAGCCTGTTTCCAGTGCTCAGATCTACCAATTCTGCTGTCAGCATGTCATCAGATGGCCAACACAAATACCCTAAACCCTAAACCCTAAACCCTAAACCCTAAACCCTAAACCCTAAACCCTAAACCCTAAACCGACATAGTCGCCAAGGCCTAAGCACGCCCCCCGCCCCCCACACACTTGGGAGGGTTCATGATACTTATTGACAAATTATATCTGTACTTCTACCCATATTAGGAACACTTAAGGGCTTATGCGTGGGTTACAAGTACAGGTATAATTGGTTAATCAGTACCCCTAAACCCTAAACCCTAAACCCTAAACCCTAAACCCTAAACCCTAAACCCCTTTTTAAGTACCATGAAAATCCAAGCACCCCCCAAAGCGAAGGATCTCCTTGCCTTTTCCACGCCGAAGGAGCAAGCCGTGGCAGTAGATGTTGTGCGACCCCTCCCGCACAGAGGCTTTGAGCTAAATTCCGAAGCCTTTTAGGGTTTAGGGTTTAGGGTTTAGGGTTTAAGTTTTAGGGTTTAGGGTTTAGGGTTTAGGGTTTAGGGTTTAGGGTTTAGGGTTCTCTAAGCCCTAAACCCTAAACCTAGAACATAGTCCGTATAGCAAAAGAGACCTGTTGGTTGCGACAAGCCCTACAGGCCTTTAAAACCCTACAGTCAGCCTTAGGCCGCTGAAAAACGAATTGAGGGTATATAGGGATGTTGACGTTAATTTTTGGAGAGGTTCTTACGCAAATAGTAGTCAAGCCTTGAAGACGTGAAGCTACCACACTGTAAGGAGGGTTTTGGGTTTAGTTTTTAGGGCTACCCTTTACTACGTCCCTTGGGCGTGAGCAGTTTAGGGTTCAGGGTTCAGGGTGTTTAGGGGTTTAGGCCCTAAACCCTAAACCCTAAACCCTAAAAAGGGTTGAGGGTTTAGGGCAGGGTTGGGGAAGTGGGGGCAAAACTCGTGGGATCGCTACTTCCCCCCCCCCCCCCTCCCACCTAAAATCACAAGTCCCAGATTCAGCAGACCAAGGCGAATAGAGCTTGTAGGGACCGGGGTGATAGGGGTCTAGGATTTCAGGGTTTAGGAGATAGTTTTCTTTGTTGGCGGTCTTCTTCGAACTCCAACGGCCGAGAAAGGGTCTAGGGCGTCTGTAGATTCCAGGTTTGGCAGGGTTTAGGGTTGAGGGGCCTCCTTCACAACGACATTGTCATCGCCACTCTCGATCACCTTTGCGTCTGCGTTTGGAGGTTCATGGTACTTAGGGTTTAGGGTTTAGGGTTTAGGGTTTAGGGTTATTAACCAATTCTCACTGTACGTATAACTGTACTTATAGCCATAAAGTACCATGAACCTCCGGGTAAGCTGGGTTGCATATGGAAGCTTTCCTTGAAAACGAACCGCAACTATACAACTGAACCAGAACCCCTGTACACCCAAAGCCCTAGACCCTAAATCCAAACATTATGAAACCCTGAACCCTAAGCTATAGAGTACCCTAAACCCTAAACCCTAAACCCTAAACCCTAAACCCTAAACCCTAAACCCTAAACCCTAAACCCTAAAGAGTTGCAGGAGCTGTGGGGATTCAAGGTTTTCAGGGGGCCATTGGGTGCATGCGCAACACGACCACTCGCAAAGGCCATGTGTAGTCTACTGTACTCCAGCCCGGGTCAGTGTTTAGGGTTTAGGGTTTAGGGGCTTAGGGGTTTAGGGTTTAGGGTTAAGGGTTTGGGGTTTGGGGTTTGGATTTGGGGTTTAGGGTTTAGGGTTTAGGGGCTTAGGGACTTAGCGGTTTAGGGTTCAGGGTTTGGGGTTTGGGGTTAGGGCTTTCGGGTTTGGGGTTTGAGGTTCGGGGTTTGGGGTTAGGTTGTGGACGCTGCTGCACCTGCGCCAAGTGTGCAGCTTAGGGTTTGAGGGTTTTGAGTCTGGAGGTTTGGGGTTTATGGGCTTAGTGTTGAGACTTCAAGTTCTAGCTAAGTTCTAGCGCAGCATGGCCCTTTCTTGTTCCCAGAGCAACGGTGATTCAGGGTCCTTGAACACCAAATGCGAGAAGGATCACGTTGCGGGGGAGGCTTTAGGGTTTAAAAAATTTGGAAAAACCAGAAAAACCTCAATCTAGGGCTCCGACGCTGTCTCGCAGAACGACGTACTGTGAAGCGATGATGCTAACACCGTCCTGGTCAATGTGGATTTGGGTTGAAGCTGTTGAGTTGTAGGTATCCCTAATAGCCATAAAACCCGATAAACCCTATAAAACCCACTATAAAACCAGAACCCCAAACCCTAGAAGACACAAAAAAGCCCTATAACCCCTATAAACCCTATAAGCCCTAACCCCCGCTGAGGGTTTATAGGATTTCACGGCTCAATGCATTGGCTTTGTTTATGGGCACAGGTTCAAGCCCTGGGAGGACCGATGGGCACTCGCAGGAAAGGCAGGGCGGATTGGATGAACACGGTTTAGGGTTTAGGGTTTTAGACTGAGATCATTTTGCGAAGTCGCTCTCTGCTGTGGTGCCCAGAGTACGCGTGGCCTGTGAATTTGAAAATCGGATCCTTTGTGATGAGCACCCAGCACGCGGGGCTCCGTGGGACATGATACCCTAAACCCTACACCCGAAACATCCCTGAACCCTAAACCCTAAAACCCTAAACCCTAGACATCCCTAAACCCTACACCCGAAACATCCCTAAACCCTAAACCTCTGCACCGTTGAAACTGCTGGCAGCAACACAGCCACGCAGGGCCGGGTGCGGAAGACTTTTTCGACCCCAAACCTTGAACTCGAAACTCTGAAGCCCCACTCGTTTGTACCCCAACCCCTAAGCAGCGAGGGTACTGAGGGCTTAGGGTTTGGGGGTTTAGGGCTTAGGGTTGTGATCCAGGAGCTTGAAGTGAGCTGCAAGCTGCAAGAAGCCGGAAGCCACTGTGGCCACTTGCTGACCCCAAAAAACCCCTAAACCCCGAAATCCTACATCCGCAACCCCTCCACAAACCGTCAACCTGGGCCTCCTAAACCCCAAGCCTTCAGCACCTAAACCCTCAAGCCACAACATTCAACCCCCAACACTCAATCCTGGCTCAACTTTAAACCTTCTGCCCCGACCAGACCCGAAACCCCAAAAACCTAAGCCCTGAAAACGCTAAAAAAGCGAAACCCTGAGACGTAAAACCAAAAACACACACACACACACACACCTCTGCGCAGACAGACACACACAACCCTTAACCCTGAACACTGAAACCCTAAACCCAAACAACCAGAAGACCTAGCAAAAACAAAAACGTAAAACAAACAAAAAAAGCCGAAGCCCTCTGAACCCCAAAGCCCGAAACCGTGAAAGCCCCAAACCCTGAACCCTGAACCCTGAGCCCTGAAAACCCTAAACCCTAAACCCTAAACCCCAAACCCCAAACCCTAAACCCTAAACCCTTTTCCGGCTTTTTTTGTGTTGCCCTTAGTTTCCCAGAACGTCGGTCCGTGTTGTGGGCTCCGTCGTCTCCCAGGCGATTGTGGCTCAAGGAGATCCGAAGGCCTTTTCGAGGGGGTTTAGGGTTTAGGGTTGAGGGTTGAGGGTTAAGGGTTGAGGGTTGAGGGTTTAGGGTTTACTCTAGGGGCTTTGGGGGGTGGTTTTGGTTTTTGTGCTTGGGATTTGGAGGTCTTTTGGTGATTTCTGGCTGAAGAGCCTGAGGGTAGTAGACAATTTGCGGGGCCCGCGGCCGAGGGCTCTAGGGGATGTAGGGCGGGTTCAGGGAGCTCTTAGGGATGGAGGGCTTTAGGGGAAATGTGGTCGCAAGAGGGTTTGGGCGGTTTAGGGTCTAGGGTTTAGGGTTTAGGGTTTAGGGTTTAGGGTTCAGGGTTTAGGGTTTAGGGTTTAGGGTTTAGGTTAGGGTTTCGGTTTTGTTTCTGGAGTGCGACGGAATCTGTCTTCCAGTAAGGTGAAACATAGGAAGTTTAGGGTTTAGGGTTGAGCCTTAGCCTAAGGTTTACGGGAGCTTGGGTTTTTGGGATTAGGATTGGCATTATGGCGTTTTCTAGGGGGAAACAACTAAAAAGGAGGACGGATTGTAGATTCCCTAGACCTTAAACCCTGAACCCTGAACCCTAAACCCTAAACCCTAAGAAGGTTCAGGGCGCAAAGTGTGAGCATGCTTTTGGTTGGTGACTACATGGGTAGTTCTCTAAGCTAGGGTCCTTTTTGGGCCCCTGATTGAATACGGCACCCGTATAATCAGGGCACGACAAAAGACCCCAACTTAGAGAACTACCCATACATGCTGCCCTGAAGCCTAAGGCCTGCAGGCCTAAACCCTAAACCCTAAACCCTAAACCCTAAACCCTAAACCCTAAACCCTAAAACCCTAAACCCTAAACCCTAAACTCTGCGGAGGTGAGGAGAAAGACCTGCCTTCGAGCTGCACACCTCGACTTCGAGCCACCACCACCTCTGCATAGGGTGGGGGGGTGGGGGGGGGGGGCTTGCGTGGCGCCTGAATATGGGTTTAGGGTTTATAGGGTTTAGGGTTTAGG